CAAAAAAAAAAAAAACAGATGAGTTTAAAATTTTAATTATCCACTAAAATCTTTTAATTGCTAGTTCACACCTCATCACACAATTAAAATTTAAACTTATATGATTGGATGAATTTCAAAGATCTTAAAAAATAGATACATGAATGAACTCAATAGATAAAATACTTTTAACAAACATTTTGAAAAAATACCCATTACAAATAAAGATTAAAGGTAAATGGGATAAATGTGTGTGTGTGTGGGGGGGGGCAGCACCCTCCTCACAGAAATTCTTTATTATAGACAAAAAGTATTGTATTTTACCATGTTATTAGGTTTTAGCCAATTATAATGGCTCAAATAAAACAAAATTAGTATATGAATTTTAATAAGTGGCATTCTGGCAAATTTATGTATGAAATATTGTTAAAATGTCAGCAACTTTAAGTAAAAGAAAATCTTAAGTATTTGTCTAACAGTATAGATCAAAAGGAGGATTGTACTGGCTGGGTGGCTTTTGGAAAAATTTATAGCATAAGTCCCAAATCAACAATTAAAACCAAGAGGAAGTCATTTAATGAACACATTCTGACAGTGATTTCTGGAAGTGAGACATGGGCATATGACACCGACACTGCAGAGATTCTTACAGTGGACCAATGTAAAAAATGAAGTGAATCTTGCTATGCATCACCTTACATGACAGAAAGAGCAACACCTGGACTCAACAGAAGATTGGAGCAAAGGACACAATCAAGACCAAGAAAGGAAAACAAAGAATATCTGGTTATGTCTTTCATCTCAGAGGAGGGCCAAAGGCAAGATGGTTAAATAATCTGACTTGATACCTTGGCCACACAGGAAGTGGTAGAGGCTAATTAGAGAATGGTTCCTCCAACAGGAGCAAGAAGACCACGGAATTGGAGCTTAGCTAATTCTGCAAAGACTTTTTTTTTTAGTTAAAAAAAAAAAAAAAAAATGTATTAGTCATAATTGGATACCAGTGCAACAGTAGGAAGAAATTCTGATCATCTTCTCTGCTACCATCTGAAATGAAACTGCAACCTCATCACAAAATATATCAACAGCAAAAACACCTAAACGAATTTGGGTAAGGAGCTGACTTTATTTGAACTAAATACTTTTCAGGGCATCTTTTGGCCACATTGACATGAGCTTAGTTTATACAAAAATTTTCTTGGGCATGCAAAAAGCATTAGTAATTCAAATATTGGCCTTAAAACCTTAGCACTGGTTTTAATTTTGTCTGAATGGTTCGTTTTGCTGCCAAGGACATGGCATAAATCAAAACACTATTGCGGATTAGCATCAAAGTAAACATTTTGTCGGTATATATTTTTACCAAGTTTTTCCATTTGTCAAAACGTATTTCGTTTTCTTTATTAATCTTAAATTAACAATTTAAAGAAATCTTGGCAAGGTTTGTTTAAAAAAAAAAAAAAAAAAAAAGCAATGATTAGAATTTTAATAATAAGCCTAAACATATGAAAGTGGATTTACACATTCTTTGTTCTTTAGAACTTACAAAAATATTAAAACTTTATTAGATTGAATTAGAATTGTTGCCAATAGACTTTATAAAATAAGGATTTCATTAAAGTTGCTTCACATTTTTATTTAATAAATTGTTTTCATATTTATTTCTTTATAAATATGTAAATGATAAATATTGGATTGCAAGAGTTTTTTTTTAGAATGTAAATATGAAATTCTTGTAAATAATCTAAAATAAAAAAAAAATTATATATTCTCAAAAACAAAGAATGTACAAATTCACTTTCAACATGTTTAGGTTTTATTACAATTCTAAATCCTAGCTTTTTAAAAACAAACATTGCCAAGGAATGAAGGTAATTAAAATAATAGTGGTGTCAATAGAAAAACTGTGTCTAGCAAAAAAAAAAAAAAAAAAGTCAAAAAGCTTAAACATAGCCAAAATTTCTATATTTCTTAATGTACATTTAAATTTGTATCAGTTTAAGAGTTTGGAGACTCATCAGGTAGAATGTAAATGTTCTTCCAATTTGATCTATGCTTCTTACTTAAGCAGATACAAAAGGTGACCCCTTTACAATACCCACCCCCATGTCAAGCATAGCAATTTTGAAAAAAAAAAAAAAAAAAAAAAAAATGTTTTCCCTGTCATTTGTCACCTGACAATAGCTTTCTTTTAAAAGGCAATGATGTTACATTAAAAAGCTATTAATTTAACTTAACGAGTGGGGGAGAGAACACAACATCAAGAGAGACAAGTCATGACTATTTAAATAGACCCCCAATTTCTCCTGAAATTTGGCATAAAACAATGATAGTAATCAAATTAATTTTACATATTTATATTTTCATTCAATTCTCTTGCCTAGACAGTTAAGGACTGATAAAATTAAACATCCACGTTTTTATAATTAAACATTGGAAAAACATCAGTACATAAATATAAACTTTCAAAACTTAATGTAAGTATACTCCTTTTGATATTAAAACATTTAAGCAATTGCAAGGAAATTTCCAGTAAGGAAAGAAATCTCAGAAGTATTCACTTTAGTTAGTACATTTGCTTCATACTGAATGTAGTTCAGAGGTAAAAAGTTACCCAATTGTAAATGCTAAAGTTAAAAGCTATTTTAATTCATAAAGTGCATTAAATCCAAAAGCAAAATCTTGTCTTATGAGAATTAGTGATTATGTCAGTACAACTTCTATAAGTATGAAAATTTCAAATTATATACACAAATGGATTTATTTTTAATCCAACATTTTTATTACAAACAGTATGTATATTGGCCTGGCATTTGATAAATCCTAATAAAGAAAATGGGTCCTCTAGCAAGGATTGAACCTGCACCTTTGTAAGGGTAGCCACCATTTGATCAGAAAGCACACCAAGTCAAACAGTAGTTTCCCTTATGAGAGACAAGTCCACTGTTGGAAAACATTTCCTTTATTAGAATTTATTGAATACGCAGGCCAATAGATGTAAAAAAAAAAAAAAAAAAAAAAAAAAAATAATGGGGCATCCAATTCAAATACAAGTGTCCATAATAAAAAGTGTGTGATATATATATATATATATATATATATATATATAAGGAAGACTTGACAATGCATTTCTTCCTCTAATGGACATCAAGGTAAATGTAAAGATTTTATTTTGTAACAGATGTAAAAATATCAGGTTTGGGGAAAATTAATATTAGAACACTTATTAATATTCAAGCTAACTGAAAATCATGGTAACCCATGGAGGATGCTAAGTGTTGTAATTTAATACCTAATGAATGTAAGTTAAATTCAAAACCTATTTAAAACAAATAATTACATAAATAATTTATCAAATTAAAATAAAATAATTATTAAAAGAAAAAAAAATTCAAAAATTTACTTTCTTTATTAAGCATTAAATTACTTAACATCCTTCATTATTTATCTTGATTTTCACAGCATAAAAAATTTAAATTTTGCTCTTATATTAAAATTTTTTGGAAACCTACACTTTTTTTTTTTTACATCTCTATAAATACCTGAAGCAAAAAAAAATCCTTACATCTGTCTTGATAAAGTTCATCAGAAGATGAAATGACTAGGTCAAGAAAATTTTGCTGTTTTTATCCATATAGCCATTTTACAGATTTTATTTTTTATTCATATCTAAATTTTTCCACACACACTATATATATATATATATATATATATATATATATATAATAATAATACAGACATAAGTACTATAGAACAAAAAGTTCCTTATTGAAATTTTAATATGCAAAATTCCACAAACTCATCCAAAATATTCTGAAATCTGTTTACCCATGACATTCTTAATTTGTAAGCCTAAAGTTCAGGATGTGAGTGAAGGAAGAATAACAGGTATACTTCAGCTATGAGTAAGTGTTCTGTATCTATTGCAATAATGCAAACACACAAGAGAGGAGAAAAAAGAAAATTCAAGGAATAAATAATAAAATGATACAATACAAACCTAAAACAAGGCAGAGAAACAACTCAAAATGATTGGAAGAACCTAAATAGTTAAGGAATTTATTTATTTCACAATACATCTTCAACTTTTGTTTTGAGAAAAGGAAAAACTGAAAAGTTGTAAAAATTCAGTTAAGCAATGAAACCTTTCATTTATTTCTTTTTGGAAAGGAAGTGAGGGAGATGGAAGGTGGAAAATTGCATCTCCGAGTACCAAGAATTTTTAAGCCTGTTATTTTAGGGGCCTGTATTAAAGTCTTTCATATTCTGTCCTACATATTTCAAGTGCTGAGTCACAACAGTCTGTCAACGCCTTACCACTTTATATACCAAACATAAGTATGTGTGAATGTATGTGAGCATGTTTAAAATAAAATTTAAAGAAATCTCTGTAGTTACAATTTTTGTAATAGAGTAATAATTGTCATAGCAGTAGCAATAATATACAGCTTACATTTCATAGATTTTACAAGTACACAAAATAACAAACCACAGGGGGTCCTTTGGGCCAAGATGGTTTCTGTTAGGCTCAAACCTGTAAGATCCAAGTTTATATAAACATGGATTGACAAAGAATCAACATGTTCAGAATATGAACCATGCTAACCATTGTGAATTTTACAAGACTGAATGCAATAATATTCATATTTGGTAAAGTGGATTTCAAAAGCAAATTAAACTAGCAGTAGTATAGATTGAGACACTTTTAGAGTTTGAATCCTGACTGGTGAAAGAAACAATATCTTTACCAGATGAGCCACACCAGATTCCAGAATAGCAAGTTAAGGATATTTTCATTTAAATGGCAGTTTTTATTATTACTATTTCTTTGTTCTAATAAGAAATAATTTAATCAGATTCACAATGACTGCAACTCCTGGCAATAATGACAATATTGAAAAGTCATTTCAAAAGAAAAAGAAAAAAAAGTTGTCTTAAATAGATGATTATGTTATAAAAGCATTAGCAATAGTTGCAGTAAAAGTTGTTGCTTAATATTATAAATAGTTGTACTAACAGAATTATACAGAAGTCAGTTTACATAAACTGATAGGGAGGGGGAGAGAGAAAAAAAGGTCAACAAGAGACAGGAATCGGTGTTTATTGCGGCAATACAACTGTTGGGAAAAAAAAAGGAAAGAAAAAAAAAAGAAAAGAAAAAACAGGTTTGTTTTTTAATATATATTTTTTTTTTATACTTAAAAAGATGGCTATATTAACCATGCACGTTTTCTTTTTGGATTGTATGTGTATGTTCTTGTTTTGCATTTTTGTGTGTGTGTGTGTGTGTGTGTGTGTGTGTGTGTGTGTGTGTGTGTTTTTGTTTCTTCCTTACCAAAATGAGGTGAATGTCAAACAGAGCCATCAACAGTGCACTACTTAACAGAGGTAACCACGGTGACACCAGGCGGACATCGCATTGCTCTGCCCTAACCACAAAGAATAAGGAAGAGCACGACTGGGTTGGTCTTCCTGAAGATTAGACCAGATAGTCAAGGAGGATGCCTCACAGTGAAAACATGGCAAGGACACCAAGACGCAATGCAGTTTTTCTTCTTTATTATTATTATTAATATTATTATTCAGGAAACTTTTTTTAATTATTTTTTTTTTTTTTTTTTTTTTTAATATCTTCTTTCATTCTTTTAGCCAAGGCTAATCATTCTACTTTACAAAAATTTTATACAGTGGATACTCAAGTGAGGTATGTTGAAGAAATATAGATTTGTGTGGAAATGCCGCCCCTGCCCAACCCTGCGTGTATGTCCGCTGTTGTCAAACAAGCTAGTTTTGGTTTTTCGGAAAGCATTTGCGCCTCCTTTGGCTCAGTATCAATGTTCATGATTTTGCTTCAGTCTTCACTTTTTTTTTTTTTTTTTTCTTTTCCATTCACTTTTTTTGTAGTTTTTTTTAAATTTTTTTTTTGTATTTTGCTTTGTTTTTCTTTTAAAGATCCCTAGAAAGCGAAGTTCATAAATGTCACATCGCATACTTGGCTGTCCACTCTTTTGCAAGCTTTTCATATCTATCCCTGTCTGTCTTGTAAATTCTGGCTATTTCTGGAACTAGTGGGTCATCTGGGTTTGGGTCGCACAACAGAGAACAAATAGACAACAGCACTGAAATTAAAAAGAAAAGGTGTAGAAGAAAAATAGGGAAAGTGTTCCTATTTCTTCAGAGCAACAACAAAAGTACATTCCTGAATGTTATTTCTTATCAGAGAAATAGAATGCAAACATTGGAATTCAAAATATGCAGAATAAGGGATACACATCAACATTCCTGAAAGTGACCAGTTTATGGTTTCATGGTAAATTAAATACAGTTTTAATATTTTTATATATTAAAACCTCCCTCCCCTCAAAAATCAGCTGAACAACTTTATTTAAAACACACGGCATCATTTTTATATTAAGATGGAAAATAAGTATAAAAACATAGAAACCATGTTTCTGAAATTAAAAAAAAATTCTTTGAGTTATAACATGATTATGAAATGAAGCCACCTTGTGATGGTTTAAACTAAGAAAAGCTTTAAATTTGTAAAAAGTGGCTCACAAAGTAAAATATGCACAAACATGATTGTGACATTTTCAGTCTATGAACACATTTCCATCCAAAATTAACTTATCCCGTTATGTCTAAGCATATTAAATGTTGATACTCTTAAAATAGCCAATGATTGCAATAAGTCTTATCTTAAAGTACAATTTACTGATTAGGTTTTAGAATAATTAACAATGATTAAAATACCTGTTAATAAATATGAAAAGTGGAAATCTGGGAAGTGTGAAAGTTCTAAATCCTCAAGTCTATTGTTAATATGCTAACTTAACTAGAGATAAAAGTTATATACCTTTTGAAATAGTCAAAGCTGGAGACCACTGTGAGCGTAATATATCCAAACAGATGCTGCCATTACTATTAATATTTGGATGATATATTCTCGTTGTGAAGTGTATCTGAAAGTAAAGTATAAAGTAGCTAATGACAGAGGATCAACAACTTGAAAGTATTGTGAAAATTTTCATTTCTGACCAGTTTAGAGTTCGGATGATTAAATTCCTGTATTCAATACATAAGTATCCCAAGCAGAGAGTCAAAAGCCATATTAAGATTTTTTTTTTTTTAGTTTAACATTGAAACCCAAATACAGTGTACAATGGGTAAATTGTCACCAGTTTATATTTTTAATTTCATGCAAGTGTTGTTTGTTTTAGATTTTGCCTATTGCACAGTAAAAGTAGGGTCAGCTGAGCACTGTGTGAGAAAGAGACACCATGATGCAATTCACTCCACCCAAAATTTGGAAAATGGCATGTTGTACTGCTTGGCATTCATGCCAGAAGCTCCAATATAAACATTTCAGAGTGTCTGGGTATCAATCTGAGGATTGTGCAGGGGATTTGGAAAGAGTTGGAGTCTAATGGTAATTACAAAAGGTGTTTAGAGTGATCACTAGTGACAGCAATATTATCCTGTGGGAAGATAAATGATCTTCCCACAAGACCTCAGACTCAAAATGGAACTTTAAGGAGATAGTGCTGCTCTGGGTAAAGAGGGTGGCTACTGGAAGACCTTATATCTTTCAACAGGACACTGCCCCATGCCACACAATCAGGAGAACAGTATGGCTGTCAGACAATTTCTGCAACCACATTACCCTTTATATCTGGCTACCTAACTCCTCAGATTGCAACCCTGTAACAGAGAATCTGGTCAGCCCAATAAAAGACCCAGAGTCAGTTGTATGTGGTGCTGTAAGCACGAGGAGTTGCGTCCTCTTCAACAATGAGCTGTTGAGAGAATACTTTACTTAGAATAGGTGGCACTGACTATTTGCATATGAATGATACTGGGCAGGTATTAGCCAATAGTTAGCATGGCTCTAGGAGAGCTATACAACACCAGATTTTGTTCTCAGTTGAGAGAAGTGGTTTCAACATGCAAAAACCAGACAAGACAAACACAAATTCCCTTTATTATTATCGGTGAGGTGCAGTTGAGCAAGAGATCAACTCCTTGAACTGAAGGCAAAGATTATGGCAGCAATCACAAACTTAAACAAGGAGGCTGTCCATTTTTGTTTTTGTGCAATTTAAATAATTTATCCATCACACACTGTTTACTGTGTTTACTAACCACATGTTTTACAACATTTAAACATATACACATTCTGTGGAGGAAAAAATGCATATTGAAAAACCAATGAGTGAAACTACCGTCATATACACATGTATAAGCAGAGTTCATGCTTAGTGCACCACCTGAATTTTTTTTTTTTTTGCATATTTTTGTGCATACCCCCCACCCAAAAACACACACACACAGATAAAAACTTTCACTATACTCAAGTATGTATAGTATATAATCATTGTCAAATTAATAAGCACATTATAATTTAAAATGAACATTTTAAAAAGTTGACTAATTTGCTTTATATTAAAGGCCTAAAAAAACATTAATATTGACATCTATAGAGATAATATAGAAGCAAACATTTTTTTGTCTTAACATATTTAATGACACAAAAAAATGTCACATCTTACAAACTTTCAAAGATGCAGATATGAACTTAAAACAAGTAGGGAGCAATTTAAGAAAAACTTCCTTTGAAATGTAAAACTTCAATGTTTTTAAGTTAACCAAATAAAAATCTAAAACAAACTTCACAGCAAGAAAAAACTACTTGCCTTTGGAGGCTTGAAAGGATAGTCCGTTGGGAAGTTAATCGTCAAAAAAAATACTCCACCTTGGTATGGACTGTCTGGCTGTAAGAAAAGAAAGTTACAAAATTTCAGATATCTAAAAGATATAGTTGAGAAGTGGAGGGGAGTGATCAATCTGATTACCAAAAATTGACAATTTTTACAAGAAAACCTCAGCATTAACATTTTCATGAAAAATAACCTCACCATTTGAATTTTAAATGAGCGAGTCATTTGGATAGATGTCAAACATGTCTTTTCTCAAATAAGTAACACAAAATCCCCCTTTTTTTTATATAGAAATAAGTGATTTTTAAAGTAAAAATTTATTAACCAAGCAAGTAAGATGTTTCTTAGAGGGATGAGCACAAAATAGCCACCTTGTTCATTACATCTACAGTTGTAGGTATGTATTCACAAAACTCCCCAGATCATGCCAAGGTTAGTCTGCAAATTGAGAATCAGCTTTCCATCCAATACAAATTGGCTGCAAAGAAAACATTTGCTATTTGAGAACCGTCAATAATCACTGCTCATTCTAATTCCAGATGTTACCCACTAAGCAAAAAAAAAAAAAAAAAAAAAAAAAAAAAAAAAAAAAAAAAAGACTTAAAAGAAATTGAATTTAAAAATGCCCCCAAAAGTTTAAATATCTACAATATTAAACTGAACCACTAAAATATTTTAGAAAGCCATGAAAAAGAAAAAGTAGTATTAACTTAATATTTAAATTCAACTTTTTTCATAGAAATATTTGTTGTCCACAAAGATTTGTTACTGTATTTAAGACAGGGACCAAATTTGAAGAGAATACCTCTTTGGTAGCTAGACATTATGAATTTAAGCACAGTACCAGATTGGCAGCAAGGCCTCATGTTATAGTTGAAATGGCTAGTTGTAACTAAATTCTATGCTAACAGTTTCTTCTCTTGTATTTCTGGCTTCTTGCTTTCCAGTCAACTTCAAATTTTCAAGAATTTAAATCCAATGTCAATTGTTATCTTCTGTCTTAATTCCTGTTCTTTTATTGTTCTCTCCCATCTCCCAATGTCTTGATTTTCTCACACTCAGTAATCCTTGTATAAAAAAAAGAGAAAAAAAAAAAACCTTAACAGACAGGGAAAAAAAAAAAAATCTTAGCTCAGTTTTACTAAATGTAGAAACAGAGGAAAGAAAAGAAAATCAGCATTAACAGTAGAATTCTAACTAAATCAGTAATATACAATTATAGATGTACACCAAGAGAAAAAAAGAAATTTGTATACTGTAGTATCATTATTTTAAAACTATTTTGGCATTGTGTAAATACAAACATTTACAGAATCTGGCCCCTTTCCAATCTGCTGCTCAAAAGAGCATAACAGTTCTTGACTTCCTACTTTGCTACTACATACTGTAAAATACGCATACAACTTGCTAATAAATCTTTGCCACTATTGAAGCAAATTACATTCATTAAATTACTATTTAGTATCAAGAAAAAGTGTTGAACTAATATAGGTACCTCCACTTGCTTGCTGAAAAACAGTGTAGTATGATGAAAAAAAAGGCTCCAAACTTAAAAACAAAGTTTTGTCAAAATGTTTGTTATTAAGAGGAAAGACCAAAATATTTTTTTTTTATTATTTTAAATTTCTTAGTCCTTTCTAGTACATTCAAAATCCTGGGAATTTTTTTTTTTTTTTTTAAATGTTAGTCAATGTAATATTTACAATTAGTGTTTTTATCTAAATACATACTCATACTTGAACTTACAAAGGTGCTGAAAAATTCTCGGCTCTGATGATTTAACCAAAATCATTAATGATCAAACAATACTGATTTGGGTAAGTGGGCTGGACAAAAACCTTTCAGCATGTCAAATAAAAATAAAGTCCATAAACAAAGCATAATTAAAATATAAAACAGCTAAAAGGGATATTTAATAATTATTAAAATGATATTTACTATTAAGACTTTTTTAAATGAACATCCAGTTTATTTTGTTTATGAAAGTAAATACTTGCCAATCTTAGCTTAAAATTTGAATGTTTATAATTTGAATGTTTATAATTTGTATTTGGTATTTAAAGGATAGCCAAAACTCTTGTTTTAGTCACGCCAATGAAACAGAAAATAAAGCTTTATAGAAAAAGGCTTAAAGTTGCCAGCCAAGTCATTAAATAAAATTAGTCAGAGAAAAATTTAAAAAGGACAGACATGAAAAACAATTGTGAAGTTTTTTCATTAGTAAGATAGTCATTACAAAAACAAAAAATACCTTGTAAAATCAATCTCAAATTTTAAGGAATTTTTTTTCAACCCACTAAGTACAATTTTTAACTTAAAATGGTACACATCAAAATGGCACAAAAAAAAAAAAAAAAAAAAAAAAAAAAAAAAAAAAAAAACTAAATCTAGCAATTTCTGGATACTGAATGAAGCATTGAGAAAAGCATATTTTAGACACTTTTTTAAATATAAAATATTTTCAAAGATCTCAATATTGTAAATATTTGAGAAAACTACTTAAAAGCAAATATTTCAAGTACACATCTCACAATATAAGCAAGTTGAACCTGCTATACAGAAAAATGTTCATATACTATACAGCATGAACATCACTTTGAGGAAATTGAAAATTCTCAAAACATCTTTAAGTTGCAATAGATAGAAATAACAGATAAAAACTTCCCTAGATAATGTCACTTCAGAATATACATGGTTTTATAGGTTTAACTCAGTTTCCAATAAAAATCAGACATGTAAAATGTTTTTGACAACTTGTGAGAATGTGAATTGTTCACCTTTGCACTAAATTCATTAAATATTATTTAAATTATTAATGAAAATTTAATCTCCTTTATAAAAAATGCTATCAGTAGTATTTCTAAGTGTGATTTACAGAAGCAAGTAGAACAGACTATTAGAAGTTTGAAAAGCTTTCAAATTAAACTTTTTATCTAGTAACAAGGATAAAAATTATTGTAAGCATTTAAAAAGAAATGCTTAAATTTACCTCAAAATGTCATTAAATAAATTGTTTATAAACAAAGAGTGCTGAAAAATTAATGGCATAACTCCCTTCTCAAAATAGGATTAAATAAAACTGATCTCTCCAAAGGGCTTCTTGATTAGGTCAACATTTCAGCACCCCTTTGTACAGAGAAAGTTTTATTCTCCCACCAGTATAAAGAATGTTAGCACCATATTAACTCTTAAGAATTATCAGAAAATTAAAGCAACCAAACTATCATGCTAAAGTAGCAAGATGTAGAATAGATTTTAAAGCAGTACTCCCTAAAATGCATGACCCTGAAAGCATTAAAGTTAACAAAAAGAAATCTAACTTCTAATTTCTAACTGGAGGGTGGTAATCAGTTAATAGACTTACATTTGTAGGAAGAATTAGTTGAAAGAACAAACCTACCTGTTAATAGGGACAATTGATTGTAAGGTTCTCACAAGGAGTAGCTTTGCTCTGCTTAAGAGTAGAAAAATAAAATCTTATACCATATAGTCAACCTCAATAGTTGAGGTGGCAAACATTTTTGAGAGGCCAGCAATTGCTCTTTATATACAATTTAACTGTTAAAACAGAAATAATATCAAGCAATATTTTGATATCACAACAATTATAGGGGGTTATACAGTACAAAACGGTTTTTTTCTTCCAAATTTATAAGTTCGCAAACTTTTTGTCCTTGCATATAAAGTGATGCTAATAAACTATTTTTCACTAAATAATAAGCATGTGTAAGTATTCTGGGATTAATTAAGGGCCTATTTTGGCAAATAGGTAGATGTTTGGCTACCTGTCACCTTACCCCAAACCATAGGTTTCATAGGATAACAGTTTTTAAAGGAAAATACACATAATAGAGTACATAGTAACCAAGTTCATCCCTTGATCACAACATACAAATATGATTAAACCAATATCAATTAACTAGTATACTGTCCTTTACAAATTCTCATCTAACACCTAAAAACGCAATTTTTCTGAAACTCAACCAATACATCGACCTCAGGAAAATAAGATAATGCAAGTATTCCAAAAGTATAAATAAAATGGTCACTGAGCATGTATTACTGTCAGTAACATCTGAAAGCACAGTCTTGATGGTAAGAATGAGGTGAGAATAATAGGTTACTTACTGGACCCATGATGGTAGCCTGCCAGTGAAATACTGAAATAAAAAAAAAAAAAAAAAAAGTACATTAGAACAAGGTACTTAAATAAAAACAATGTGGTGGTGGGGGATGCAGGCCAAATATAAACTAGTTTGTTAAATAAAAATAAGTCTGCATGTTAATCACAGCTTCCTTTTCATAAAAGACGAAACAAAAATTCAAACAAACTTTAAAATCATGAGAACAAAGCTTACAGTATGAGCTTAGAGTTACACTGATTTTTACAAACCAAGTATTCAAAAACAAAACAGAAGCTTGAAATAATACAAGAATTTATATTAATCAAATACAGATAAATACAGATGACTAGAAACTGCAATTTTATGCTTCAACTATGACAAATGCTGCCCAGAGTTAAAATGTGTTAATCATGTATTTATTAATATCTGTAACTCAAACTAAAGCAATGTTTAGTCATTAAACTTCAAATTTAGCATTTTATTATAGAACTGGTTAAAGTTTTGTTTTAGCATCAAAGTCAAAAGTCAAATATGAAACAATTACTGGCATGTGATCTAACAAAAGTTGATGCTTCTGGAAACAAAGTTATTTTCATACATTTAAGATGTCGCCAACCTTACAAAGGACTTGCATAAAGTAAAATCACATTGTATAAATGTGAAATATAAAATAAAATTAGATTTTAACAAAGAACCAGCAAGAGCCCTTGAAGTTGGCCTAATTAATTTATCTGACTAATGAATTAAATTTTATCTTGATACATTTATGTATAAAAAAAAAAAAAAAAAACAGTACTAAACTTGCTATAGAAACATCCAATACAAAAAATATGCACACTGCTGGCAATGTAATCAATATCAGATTGATTGATATGAACAAATGGCAATTATAAGTTAATAAGACTTTCAAAGAGATACTATACTTTATATTTTTAAAATATTTGAACTATTTGTTCTCATCATGATTATTATTGGTCAAGTAGCCATCTTCAGATGCCTATTGTTTGACTGGCATGGGATATCTGCTGATTATGGTATTATGTCCCTGTAATGCCAGCTCCAGTTTGTTTCTGCTGAATCAGGGATTGAATTCATGATCACTACACAATATCAACACTTAACTCATTGTCCCAAAGGACATCAGTGGTGTATTTTGGGAGTCTTTTTATATTCAATGTTGGAGTTTGTACCACTTAATACGAGAACAGTAGTTTGAAATAAATGTATAGACAAATCCTCATCTCAAAAATCAAAGATACTTTAGAGAGAGAGAGACAGGAGAAAAAAAAAAATGTAATTCTTAAAAAGTTATTGGTATTACCTTTAAGTATAAAAAAAAAATAAAAAAAAAAAATAAAAAAAATAAAAAGTGATTAAGAAATTTCAAAATGAATATTCAAATAAAGCATGACATTGAACATTCATATTTTCATTGCAAAAAGAATTTATTTACTTTGACAAAAGTGTTAAATAAGTTATTGTTTTATATAAAGTCTTTCCACCCTTTTCTAAATTTTCAAAAAATTAAGTTTCTGTAACCTCCTACTATTGTGAAGTCATTTTATTTTATAGCTAGTTTTAAGATCAGAAATTCATTTCAAGATGAACAATATTTTTAAAAATGTTTTGCCAATTTTTTAAAGTTGCTGACTTTCATATTTGGATGTCTTACTATTTTTAAAAATTTGCATAAAAGTCATTATGTCCAGAAGTGTGAATAGATCCTCTGCACTTTTCAGCTTAAGTCTTATTTATTAATGCTACTAAAAGCACACCAGATTTTATTGTCTATAATCTAGTGCATTTCTATGGGTATGATCCAAAAGATACAAGTATTTAAAGTCAGTAACAACCAAATTCTAAAATCAATTAGTCAAATACTATCTACAATAAACTGCCAAGCAATGTCATACCAACTGGCCAAATACCAATTTTTCTCTTAAAGAGTGAGTGAAATCAATAACTGACCAGTAGCCAGTCAAAAAGGTCAGGCTGAAAGGAGTTGGCATAACCAGAAATAGCAATTTATGTAAGAACCAAGACATCCTACAAAACAGCTCATTTTGATTATGCAAAATTATAAAAAATTAGATTGATCTGGTTTAGAAAACAATGTAAAATTATGAAAAGGAATATTACCAATGAGAAACTTAGCTGATGTTAGCATCTTTTCTAATACCTCTTAAAAAAAAAAAAAAAAAAAAAAAAAAAAAATCCAATGTAATTTTGGGAGTATGACAAAAATATTTTATCAAAACCATGATAACTAAAGACTTCTGAGATTAACTTTTTTTTCTATCAAAAAGGATTTGTGTATCAGCTTGCCTGGTTGGAGTAAATGAATTTCCTTACATGACAATTTTATACTGTTCACGGAGTTAACTCAAGAGCAATTACTTTTCAAGAGGGGTGGGGTGAAATACTGCATTGTGCACATGTGTCACACCCTCCCACCACACACACAGGGTGTTCACAATTATATGTTATGCAATACAGTTCTTACAAATACTACACAAAAATAAAATTAATTTGTCAATAACTATTTGATTTTCTAGAAACAGGCATGAAATTCATAAACCATATATTAGAAGAAAGCTGTATCAAGTTTCTGGATATAGTTTAGTTGTAAAACTTTATAGACTTAATACAAGTTCAATAAGTTATTCAGATATATTGAATGTAGGTTTTAGAATGCTACATTGAACCCCGGATTATTTTTATTTTTTTTTTTTTTTAAATAAAATTCCTATTGAAAAGATCAGTCACAAAGAACATTAATTCTTTTGACTGTTAGTAAAAAGCTCAACCAGAGGCAAACAGTATGAATCAATAGAGCAATGTAGGTTAATAGAATTTTGAACAAACAATATCAAGTTTACAACACTAAGAAAAACTTGCAAAAATGACAATTGTTAATGTCATTATTGAAACTAGAATTTCAGTGCCTGTGCAACAGGAACTAAATCAAACAATTTTTAAATTAAACTTGCATAATACTATAATTTACCAACACACTACATCTGAATAAGTAAATGTTAACATAAATACATATGAAAGTATTGACTAAAACCATAAGATTAAATCTTGCTACATAAAATGTAAAAATAGAAAATTTAAAATGGAATTTTTATTTTTATTAACCCAATGCAATTATAATAGACAGATTTAAGTGACTACTTATACCAATGTTATTCATGTAACAAAACATACAAGTTATATTGTATGATGCACAATTATATATTGTAAACATCTTTGAAAATAAAAATGTTTTTACATTACAGAGAAGATTGCACAGTAATTAACAATTACTATATATTTGATCTTTTCCAAGTACCCCACACTTATTAGCATGTACTAGATTATTCTAAGCTTAAATGCCTATATAGGACTATGCATTAAACTTTGAAGCTTTAAACAATTATCAACTACCCAAATAGAACATATTTGGACAAGAATGTCTAAATATTTTCTGGATCTTCAAAAACATTAAAAATTCAACAGCAATCATTTTTTTTAAAAAAAAAAAAAAAAAAAAAAAAAAAAAAATGGAGAAAAACAAAAACGCACACACAAATCTATTAACACAGAACAGACTCCAAGTAAGCTGATAACTGTATTGGAGAATATTATAAGATTGATAGAAAACAAATAATAGACAATGGCAAACTGCCTTAAAAAGCAGCATACAAGCTTCAAAGAGACCCTAATCAAATAAAATTGACAATTGTATGAATACCAAGTACCTATGATGATATAGGAAAAAGATGCTGCAAAGCTTAGCAAAAGACTTAATTTAATAATCATCTTGACCACTACCAGATTTAAATTCAATTATAATCAAGATTACACAGTAACAATTTAACCTGAAATTGTTCAGTATGACAAATTTGAGGTGTTATTACTTTGTAACTTTCAACATATAGTGGATATACAAGGTAAGTAATAAGCCTTGTTCATGAAAATAAAATGCTTTAGGTTATACAATTTTCCACATCATCCATCCAGATTTTACTACCATCCATTTTATTGCATAGAATGGGGGAAATCTTTGAAGTAATTTAATTCTTATATTACAGCATAAAAACCCCATTTTCTAAGGGAAAAAAGTAAATTTTATCAACTAGTGATCAAATAAGTTTAGTTCCTTCACTATAATTCTATTGGTAGTAAGGGTCTGTATTTAAAAAAAAAATTTTCCATTACAACAACATTTGCAAAGTATAGTTTTATATATATATATATATATATATATATATATATATACACACACACACACACACAATGTAAATTTGTTTAAAAAGCAATTGGACAGATGTTAACCACCAGGAAATTTACTTACTGACCAGGAGTAATCTATATATAAACTCATTTAAAACCATGTACAACGTTCTCATAAAAGAATTTGAGATGTGAGAGTGTATATGCAGTTCCACATATATACATATTTGCATTTTACCAAGATTAGATTCATGAAATAATTTTCTTTGAGGTTAAAATAAGGTAGATAGGAACAAGCAGAGAGAAATAAATTTCACTCACAAATAAAATACTTTATAATTGGAAAGTCTATAGCTACAAGGAATGAAAGTTGATATAGCAATATACATTTGCACAAATTAAGTTCAAATCTGAAATTACCAACTATACCTAAACCCAATAAACTAATTACTCCTATTTGTTAGGTCAAAAGGTGATTAGCTGATCATTTTACAAAAACGATGAATGTCGGTTGCCAGTATAAGTATACGCTGTCAAAAGAAAGCTATTTATACCATTATAAACAGGCGAGAATCTAAATTCAAATGTAGAAAGTTTAACTTTGCTACTGTTATATAATAAAAAATAAACATTGGTTAAGAAGGAAAAAAAGCATTTAATCAACAGTGATGAGTAGGTATTTAATGAGAGTTCATAATATCCTGCCAAAAAGCTATTAGGCTGTTTGATCATATAAAAATTGATATTTTTAAAAACTAACAGCCCTTAAGGTAAATATGGAAACAATTTTCCAAGTGCAAGTTAGGTTATTATATAAA